TCTGCAATTTTCAAAGTAACTATTTTTCACAAATACTCCCAAAAAACTGCCTATCATATCCCATAAACAACATGCCTTTCCCTTTATAAACTAAATGTCTACCCATCAATAGACAGAATAGCAGCTCCTGCTAATACCTTTCTCTTTCTCTTTTTGTGGTACTGAGAAGCTAATATTTTTTATGTCCTTTTCTAATCATTTTAAAACTGTTTTCCATCCCAAGTTTAGATTCCTCTATTTTTTTAATAGTAAAATCTTATGTCCTTGATAATTCACCTAAACCATACTCCTGTCCAGCTACCTACCTTTTTTCTTTTCCTTTTGCTTTTTGTAATACTAGGTATCAAATCCAAGTCCTTGCACATGCCATACAAGTGCTATAATACTAATTATATCCTCAGCCCCCAAAACTATCTTCTAATTAATACTTTTCATAAAATTATTAAAGGTAAGAGGCACAGAAATGTCAAAACCTCAATATAACAGTCGTTAAAATCTAAGAAAGGAATAACAAATAGGTCTTGCATGGAAAAATACTGAAAGAAACTACATAAATTCTGAATTGATCTGTATCTGTAAAATCATTAGATCATTGTGCTCTGCAATAATTTCAAACATTCTATTCTGATTCTGGGGGAGATATTCAATTAAGAACTGACTAAGGAACTGTAGGATCTTATTACCCACCTGCCTACAATTTTTTTTTTTTTTTTTTTTTTACACAAATGGAGCACAACTTCTCATTTCTCTGGTTGTACGATGTAGAGTCACACCATTCATGCAATCACACCCATACATAGGGGTAATAATGTCCATTTCTTTCTTTCATCTTCTCCCCCATAATCTCCCCTTTCCCTTACCCCCTTCTGCTCCATCCAAAGTTCCTGCATTCTTCCCTTGCTCACCTCCTGCCCATTATGGATCAGTATCTATTTATCAGAGAAAACATTTACACTTTGATTTCTGGGGATTGGCTTACATCGCTTAGCATGATATTCTCCAACCCTGTCCATTTACCCATAAATGCCATAATTTCATTCTTCTTTAAAGCTAGGTAGTATTCCATTCTGTATATATATACCAGTTTCTTTATCCATTAATCTATTAAAGTTGCCTACCATTCTTGACTCACATATTCTAACTTCTACCTATCTCTATTGTACAAATTTTATCTGTCTCCTAAAATGATTTAAAACTTAATAACAGAACTATATGCCTAGCACATGATGCATTTTATTGACTCACTTTCTTAACCTCTTTTCAAAAAATGTTCTTACTTGTATCACACAAAAAAAAAAAATACACTGGCAAATTTTGTTGTAACAAGAATATAGGTTAATCTGAGCATGCTTACCCATCAAAATTCATGAAGGAGATGAATTTGGGGTACTTTGAATATGTGGATATACTAAGGGTCAAGAATCCTATTTTTAAATGACTTATAATTACTGCCCCCTAAAACCATGCCTTATTATTAAAATAATGTTGAAAGAAAACAAATTTATTAAAAGATTTGGGATACATTACATGTAAATGACAAGGGACTCTTAAAAATAACAGGAAAAAGAAAAGCTGCCATTTGTAAGACATCATCATCATTACTGGTAACGAAGACCACAGAGGACTTTTAGTTGGCTTCTCAATATTCCATTTGTTTGCTGAGAATACCTACTGTATCCCTTACAGCACATTAGGCACTAGAGTGCAAGGCATTCACACCGTGCATTAGGGAGGAGTAAGAGGTAAGAAATTATCAAGCAATGAGAAAAGTACTCTAAAAATTATGGAATCTTTTCAAAATGGTGATAGTCTAATGATGTGTTAAAGATCAGAAAGGAATCATGCAGAACACAAATGAATGACACTGAAGCTACTTCTTCAGAGATGAGAAGCAATTACCAGTTAAACATAATGGGGAAGGTTATTTTAACACATGAAAAACAGAGAAAAAAAATTCAAAAAGTAAACACTAAATAAGTTGGAAGAAAGGTTGTATACAATACTATTGCAAAAAAAAGAATTCTCTCAATTAATAAAAGAGCTCTTTTTATATGTCATTTTAAACTATTTTATCTAAAGGGTAAAACAGTAAAAAAAAGTGAACTTTCTTTTTACAAAGATCAGTCTATTGACAGTGAAGAAGTTGGAAGAGTTTAAAAAAAAAAAAAAAAGCGGAGGAAACAGACCACTGCAATGGTTCAGACATGAGATGGTCAAAGCTTTTGATAGGGCAATAGTAAATACATAAAGGGAGAAAATTTTAAGAGTAGCTGAAAAGTAGACCTGACTAGGACATGATCCTTGACTAAAAAAAAAAAAAAAAAGGAAAGGTAAGAATCCAAGATTTCTAGGTCTCCATTAGCTATATGCCAACCACAGAATTCACTTCCTCCTGTTTAAAATGTCTATTATTCTGACTAATCAATATACATGGTCTTAAACAAGTGTTTCATATTATGTTATACACAAATTATTCTTTTTATTCTTTTGCTTTACCTTTTTAATATAATTACACCAAAACTATCTGCGCTAAAAAAGAAATACAGTAGTAACCTATCTTTTCAAAAATGCAAGTATTAATTACATTTCTAGTATCAGTAGCATCTTCACTCAGAAAGGGTGGCTAACTACTAATCAACTATTAGTTTAAGTGAATTTGTTATTTAACTGAATTAAGCACAAACTTTAAAAAGAAGGTATAAAAATCATTTGCCTAAATCCAATATCAAGATTTCATCTGTCTAGGAAATATTCCTTTGAGATAACACATGTCCAAATAATCAATACTTTTAAACACATCAGTTGGTTGATTAGTCCCTAGTATGAATTAGGTATTGCATCAAAAGGATTACATTTATTGACTGGTATGTTAAAAACTCTTTTTTGACTTGTGACTTATTTAGAGAATTAACCTAAAGGGTAAATATTATTTTTAAATAAGATTTATATAAATAATCTATATAAAAATAATTTAATCAATATTCAGTATAAATATATTCCATTACTGTTTTTTTCTACATGATCTGAGGCATTTTTATTATGGAACTAAGGAAAAGAAAGAATAATTGCTACAGTTTTTGAAAAGTACTGTACTCTGACAATGGGGACACCAACATTTTACTAATGGAAGACAACAAAGACCAGAAAGGCTCACATCAAGTCAAGATGGACCAGAGATTTTTCATTTTCACTACTACTAAAATAAATAAATAAATAAACTCAGATTATTTAAATATAAAATCTGATTCTATTTCAAATACTATCACAGAACTCATCAAGGTGTGCTCAATTTCTCTTAGACTCAAACAAACTAAGTTTTACTGAAGGTCTTGAACTTCTGAAAAATGTGCATGACATTTATTTTGTATTTTCACAATCTAAAACAATGAGGACATTCAACTCAACAATATACTATATATCACAGGCCAATAATAGGTAAATGACATATCAAAACAATTTTTTTTAAATCTGAAGATTTGATAATCATTAATAAGTCTTCAAGTTTTGTATACATATATTTAATAGAAATACTTGTCAAAGTTAGTGTAAGGGAAGAAAATTACCAACCAGTATAAATATATTCCATTACTGTTTTTTCTATGTGATCTGAAGCATTTTTATTATGGAACTAAGGAAAAGAAAGAATAATTGCTACAATTTTTAATATGGATCTAAATTTTCCCTCAAGAAATCACCTGGGAAATTTTTTTCCCATATATTTGAGAAATGAATCTTCAATAAAATCCTAAAATATGCAAGGCATTAGTCTAGCACTAAGGAAAGACTATTATCAAGAAAAATAATGTACTGTTATCATGAAATTTACATCCTAGTGGCAATAAACAAGCAAAGTGTCAGATAATGTTGTTATCGGAGAGTTTTATTATAAAGAGTGACTAGGTGGCAACTTGAGATTGGATGGTCAGTGAAGACTTTGTTAAGGAAATGATTTTTTAGTAGAGCTCAGACTGACAAGAAAAGATCTACCCACACTAAGATTATGACAGAATAACACTCCCAGCACAGACAGCCACATATGCAAAGTCCCCAGTACAGGCAGTAGTGTGGTAGGTATGAGTAARTGAGAAAAAGCCAAATGTCTGAAGAACAACTGGTGAAAGCAAAGATAATGAGATGTTGTGAGGTCAGAGGGAAGGGTGGAGGGAGATTCCATGGGGCCAGAGAATGAGTTCGGAATTTCTGTAGGCACAAACCTGCTAAATCTGAAAAATTTAAACTACAGCAGTGTTAACTATGCCTTTTAGCTAATCAAGAATTTGGAATAATATGCTGACTTTCAATGTACAAACAGGTTATTTCACCAAGTTCTTTTCTTTCATTTAGTTTTTAACATTAGAAAAATAACCTGCATTAAGTACATTACAATTTCAAATTATAATCCATTAATAATGAAAATGTTAGTGTAGGTTGGGAACTGAAACAGTCATAAGATAGATTAAATGCCATGACTCACTATAGTAGGTGGTCATCTATAATAAGAGATTGAGCTACATGGCTTTTAATGTTTCTTAGAGCTATATTAAATTTTTTTTTTTTAAAGAGAGTGAGTGAGAGAGAGAGAGAGAGAGAGAGAGAGAGAGAATTTTCCAACATTTATTTTCTAGTTCTCGGCAGACACAACATCTTTGTTGGTATGTGGTGCTGAGGATCGAACCCGGGCCGCACGCATGCCAGGTGAGTGCGCTACCGCTTGAGCCACATCCCCAGCCCTATATAAAATTTTTAATTAACCTTATCATTACTTCAGGCAGTGTCTCCATACTCTAAATTCCTATAAATCCCTCATATCCAATTATACTATAATTAATGGTTTACTTCCACCCTCACCACTCTATACTAAACTTTGAGAGGAAAGACTATCTTTCATCATTATGAACACTTGCTAAGAAATTTTAGCTTTCCATCATATAGTATATAGTTTATAAGGAATCTAGTTTGAAATCTGTCTGGTTCTTTAAAAAAAAAAAAAAAAACTATACCTATTTGTTTTGCAGCTTGTAATATGTCTTTTAAGTCTTCATTTATACTTTGCATTTCACTCTTCTCCAGGTTTTCATTCAAAAATGTTACTATATTCTTCCATGTCGGTCCCAAATCTAAAACTTGTTCATGAAGTTTGGATCGCTTTAGCTGAAACAAATAACATAATACAGAGAACGACTGGTTAAATTTTTTCTTAAAGTCATAGCTTAGTCCATATATTCTGCAATACAGAATACAACTTGGCACTATGTGTAAGATTTTGAAGTTGTATCTACTCAGATCCAAGTTACTCTCAGAATGAACTTTATTTAAATGTGACTTCACAGAATCTCACTTGTCTAAAAGATACGTTTAATAAAAGATTATTTTTTATAATTTTATTTACAATGCATACCCATCATGAATTTCTATAGCAAAGTAAAAAGTTAAACCAACATCCAGAAGATGGTAACAAATGATAACATCCCACATACCTCTTCCCAATTTCCTTTTTGTGTGTGTGTGTGTGTTGTACCTTTTTTTTTTTTTAAATTTTTATGTGATGCTGAGTATCAAACCCAGGGCCTCACACAAGCTAGGCTAGTGCTCTACCATTGAGCCACAACTCCAGTCCCCCTCTTCCCATTTTCTAACTGCTTATTTTTAATATCACTCGGACTATAATATATATAAATAAAAGCTTTATGTCCTACTTTATAATGAAAGGCATTTAAAGATAATTAGATTTCCATAGTTGATCTCAATATATTCAAGTCAATACTGCTCTCCTATAATACTATAACTCTTTGCTTGAGACTAACAATCTTTTCATTCACTAGAACTAACTACAGAAAGCAATATAAACTTTAAGTCAAATCACTGGCTTTAATCCATAGATAAAAGTCATGAAACACTCTAACCAAATGAAAAACTGGCAAGTCAGGTAGAAACTGTAATTTTACTCTTGATTGTATTCATGATATTCTTTACTCATCATTACCTTCCTGTTTTCTAATTTTAAATGGGGCTGGTCAATCTGGGTTTAGTGGGGAAAGAATGGGCAAGGATAGATATGAAATATATCAGCCATAAAAAGAATTGTTACAATAGAGTCATGGGTCCATAATGATTCATATTACTTTTATGGGTCCATAATGATTCATATTACTTTTATCTCTACTTTTGTATGTGTTGGATATCGTCTCCACACACCCCTCAACCCCTACCCCCGTTCCACCCCACCCCCACTCCAGTCCTGGGGATTAAATTCAGGAGAAGTGCTCTACCTCTGAGGTACACCACCAACACTTTTTAAATTTGATTTTAAAGGGTGTAGTAGAGTGACAAAAGCTGGCCTCAAACTTTCCATCCTCCTGCCACAGCTTCCTGAGTGGCTGGGATTATAGGTGTATGTATCATGCCCAATCATGTTTGGCATTTTCTGAGATAAAAAGTTTCAGCTTTTTATATATACCACTTTTGGGAAAAAAAAAAAAAAAAAAGTACTAAAAGCCAAAAGGAATAAATGAAATGATATGGGACAAGCAGATAGTCCTTATTCACTTTCAAATTTTAAAATCTTCTGTTCCATAATAAATTCTGAATTACCTGCTAAAGGCCTTGAGGAAGAAGAAAAGAAAAGAATTCAAGTGTAAACTATCAATAGTAACTAATGGTATAGAATATACCCTATTTTTAGTGCTGTGAAAAAATATAAAATAGCTCCTATTGTAAAGGTTTACTGTTTTGTATCTGACACAATTCTGCATTGTTAGAGGAAAAACATCTAAAAACTGTTCTTCCTAGAATCAATCTTTAAGTGAGGCTATTAATAGAACTACATAAAGACTTCTAGCAATAAAATTCCAACCTACTAGGAAATATTATTATCCTAAAATAAAGTCAGGAATCAACACCTGAAGTGACTACTGTTGTTTAAAAGAACAGTGCAAGGTCAGATCCTTCACAAACTATTACATGGCTCATTTCTTCATATGTGCAGTTCATGTATAGTTTCAACGCTATAAAGTTCACAATAATATGACTAAACTTCCTAAACATTTACCCTTTTTCTAGTRAAAAGTCAGTCCATTATTTATGTGTTGAAATGTCCTTAAAGGATTCAACTGATTCTTAATACTACTTTAATTTTTTAATAAATTTCAACAACTTAAAGATAAATGGTTTTAAAACTATCCAAAATACATTTTGGTATGAACAGCTACAGGTTTTGCTATGCAAAATCACATTCAGGAAGAAACACAGTAATCTAAACATTAAAAATAAATAAATTCATCATAGTAATACAAACATCCTCACATCTACCAACTGATCAAAATCTATATTTTATGGGCTCAACTGTGTCCCTCAAAATTTATATGTTGAAGTCCTAACTCCTAGTACCTCAGGATTTGACTGTATTTGAAGACAGGGCCTTTATAGGAGTAATTGAGTTAAAATAAAGCCATTTGAATGGACCCAATCCCACTGACTGATAAACATACAAGAAGATGAAATCTGAACACTTAAGGAGACACCAGCAACATGCTGATACAAGGAGAGAAGACTCAGAGGAAATCAAACCTGCCAATACACCTTAATTTCGATTTCTAGCTTCAGATTGGTGAGACAATAATTTTTTGTTGTTTAGCCTTCCAATCAATGGCATTTTGTGAAAACTAACACACCACATGTCAAAGGCATTTCTAAGAATCTCTTCTAAATATTTTATAACTATATGCACAGTTTTTTTTCTGTAAGTCATGACATAATATACTTTTATTTTTGTTTAATATTAATTAAATTTGTAAGTACATGTAATTTTTTGATACTTTTTATATAAGTTAGTTTACTCACCAGGAGAAATTCTTTGTCAAACCATATACCCTAATTTGTAGTACAGAAAATACATTCATTGAACCTATATAGGACAGAGACTGAAGAAGTTCCTTTCATAAGACAAAAGTGACATTTCAAAATGATAACCATTTTGCCCTGGTGGAATCTATATTTACAGCAAAGGTAAAATTAATATTTATTGTATAAAATGACTCATGAGGAAACTTGTCCACATATTAGTTATTATGAAAAGTAGGAGTTGATATTTACTAGAAAAGCTAAAGAATCTGTAGTCAATGTAAATAAACTTTTGTTTCTTATTTTGTTTCATATTTATTTTTGAAATTTTAATCATAAAGTGACTTTTTAAATAACAAGTGTTTTCTTAAGAGGTTTAAGCCCAATTATAAGCATAAGCCAATTATAAGACCAACTACTGAGCTCAAGAGATTAATATTTATATTTCTCATGTTAAGGTACAGACATTGTTTCTGTTTGATAAAAATTTTACCAGAGACCTAAAAACTTACTCAGATAATTCAGAAGTAAATTACTGGATTATATCACAAAATAATTTGAGCCAGGGACCTTAGCAACAGAAAAATTATAGTTCTGATTATTCCTCTTGACAGTACAGTGATGGGTGCTTAATATTAAGTTGTCCCATAGGAACATCAGTACACCTACTCTCCTTCTTGGTCTCATGCCAAACAAGATAAACCTTCCATTTTAGCACAAAGAACAAAAAAGCAATGTCAAATATATGTACATACTCTATAAGAAATAAAGGCAAAAAACTTACCTTTAAGTCAGCCATTTCTTCACTATAATTATCTTGCTTGGTAACATTTGAAAAGGAGCGCAAGGCTCCTGTGAGGCGAGGCAAAGCCATCTATTTCTCAATCAGTGATCCCTGCAATGAGAAACCTGAAACTGAAACAAAACAAGATGATATTTATCTGTTCAGAAATGGGAGGTATAATCGACTCAAAAAACTGACCAATACAAGGCAAGGGGGAGAAAAAACAATTAAAAATTCTCCTGATACATTTCCAACTCTTGAAGGTTTTTTTGTTTCATTTTGTTTTGTTTTAAATAACACATTTACTATGGTTGCAGAAAAGAAAAAGGAACAAATAGATATTTGTTTCAGGATATTACTATACTATTACTTCAAAATGACTTCTATACAGTATTTGAATATAAGCCTTAAATATTGTTTTACTACTACCAATAATATAAAGAGATGAAGAAAACTGACAATATTTCCCCCAATTTTATTTTACATGCACTGATTTCAAATTACACAATTTTCCAGTGGTTTTCTCTGTTTGCAATGCTCTTCCCACTAATGTTCATATATTTGGCTTCTTAACATGGAACATTTTTGGTACTCAATAATTTTTTTTCCAATTAAAAAAAGGAAGAAAAATGGAGAAAATAGGAACAGGAGAAAAAAAAAAAAAAAGAAAGAATCAAAGCAGCTGGCGATGGTAAACTCCCAGGAAAAAAGAAAGTCAGATAACTATGTCTAGTCTCTGTTAGCATGCTGGCAATTAAACAACCAATCTCCAGGCAAATAGATTTAATAATATTTGCATTTGGAGAATCCTTATCTATCTCTTTTTAAGATTGTCCTGGCTTAAGATTGCTTACTAGAACAAAACTACTATTTACAGTTATAAAATCCCCACAGAATGTCAAATAAGTTTTCTAAGTCTTAAAACAATGCTCAACTAGATTCCCTCCCCACACCACTCTCCACAGGACATTTGGCAATATCTGGAGACATTTTGAGTTATCACAATTAGAAAGGAAGTGAAAGTGGTCTATGATTTCTGATGGGTAGAAGTCAGTGAAGCTGCTGTACACTCTATAAAACACAGGATAGCCTCTCCACAACAAACAATTATCTGACCAAAACTGTCCAATATAAGAAGGAAAAAAAACAGATGGATGGGGGCAAGGGACATACAAGATATTTTAGAACACTCCCAGCTTCTGCTGTTCCTTTTAACTAAATCTCTATAAAGCTTAATACCTAGAAAATCTGACTCATATATTAAAATAATTAGATATTACATAACTGAGATTGAAAAAAATGAAAGAAGGATTTTTAAAATACTGAATAAGAACTTGCAGGGTTTGAAAATGTATTTTAGAAATAAAAATATATAATTGTTAAATTTGAAAACAATCAACAGATAGACTACAAAACTGATTAATCACAGCTAAAAGGAAAAGTATGACCTGAAAGAGAGCACTAAAGAAATAATCCAGCACACGTCACAGACAAAGAAGCTCAGTTGTACAGTGTTTGCCTAGCATGCACAATACCCTGAGGTCAATCCCCAGCACTGCCAATAATAAAGAAAGAAAAGAAATAAAAAGTATATTTGGGCTCAGAGTGACCAAATTAGTTTCCTGACCCCTGATATAGGTCACTCTCTGAGCAAAATATAATAAGATTAAAAATCAGAAACAAAATGATAAGATCTACAAACATGCATAATTACACTGCAAATCAGTAAGGAACAGGTATGTGAACATACTTTTAAAAAACCAGTTGGAGTCTACATCACACTGGAGAATTTCAATCCAAAAAATTTGCAAATAAACTCCCTAGGGTAGCCAACTTTAGATTCCAACTGCCCATTGGGAATGAATTTAGGAGAGCATTTGTAGAAATTAAGATGATTCAGAAAGTTATAAATGAATTTTTCTAAAAGTGAGCAACATATTTCCTGAAGCATGTAGAGGAAAAATATGAAATCAGGAATTAGTGGACAGCATAGGGCAGAAATTTTCAATTTTTATTATTTATTAAAGTCACCTAGAGGGCTTTCTAAAACAAATTGCTGAGCCCTACCACCTTAATCTTCACCCCAATTTTCTGGTATGGAAGATCACACAGCACTGAATTAGGGCATAAAAGTTTGCACTTCTAACAAGTTCACAGATGAAGCAAAAATTCCACTGTCGTAGAGATGGTATCCTTCATCCTTAAATCACCAGTTTTGCCCCAAGTCAATAGTGAAAAAAAAACCCATCTAGTAAGAAATTGGGAGTCAGAATTAACGTGCAGTGGGGCTGGAGTTGTAGCTCAGTAGTAGATCACTTGCCTCGCAAGTGTAAGGCACTGGGTTTGATCCTAGCACCACATAAAAACAAATAAAACAGCATTGAGTCCATACACAACTAAAAAAAAAATATTTAATTCACATGCAGTATACATCCTACCAGCCTTTATCAATGGGGTTCTGTGAGATGATTAAATTCTATTGAATGATTGAATGTACCTTGAATGACTTTTTCTATAAATCCTCTCAAGGACTGTACATAGCTAGTATCATCTACAGAAAACTAAGGAGCTGAGAGCATAGTAGCACACACCTGTAATCCCAGCAACTCAAAAAGTTGTGGTAGAAAGATCACAAGATTGAGGCCAACCTGGGCAACTTGGCAAGGCCCTGTTTCAAAAAAGTTTTTAACAAAAATTTAAAAAAGGGGATGTAACTCAGAGATAAAGCACTCCTAAACCCCTGTTTAATCCCCAGAACACACATACACACACACACACACACACACACACACACACACACACACAAATAAGTAAGGCATACGATAAATGCTTTAGGGGAGTGGGGCTGGGGCTCAGTGGTAGAGCGGCTTGCCTAGCATGTGTGAGGCACTGGGTTCAGTTCTGGGCACCACATATAAATAAATTTTAAAAAATGAAGGTCCATCAACTAAAAAAATATTTTAAAAAATAAAAATAAATGTTTTAGAACACTAGAGTTTAAATTTTCTACCCACACTGAAGGGCTGCGAAGATGCATTCTAAAGTCTTCAAAGACCGTGACACTAAATTGAAAAAATTCTGCCTCAATAGTGGTGCAAGTAGCCATTTGTTTATAAGACCATGCCTGAGGTAGAATATTCCATATATCATGTCTCTTTTCTGATGTTACATTTTGAAAGCATTGATTTATGTGGTAAAGGCACAAGTTCACTTTAGATCCCACCTCACTCTTCAGAAAAAAGCAAGTGCTCTTGAACAGCTTCTGTTAAGATTTGGATATAAGGTACCCCCCAAAACTCCTATGTTAATGCAGGAACTTTCAGAAGTAAAGTGATTGGACTGTGAGAGCTATAACCTAATCAGTCCATCCTACTTTGCATGGACTGATTGGATGATAACTATGGGGCATGGATGGAGGAGATGGGTCACTGAGGATACATCCTGGAAGAATTGTTCTTCCCGACAGGCCCCTTCTTGGGCTTTCTCTCTCTGCTTCCTGACCACCACGAGGTGAGTTGCTTTCCTCCATCACGTCCATCGATCATGATGGTCTGCCTCACGTTGGGCCCAGAACAATGGACTCCACCATCAATAAACAAAAATTTCTGAAACCATGATCCCCAAATACATTTTCCCCMATAGCTGTTCTTGCATATTTTGATCACAATGTTGCTAAGCTAACTAAAACAGTTCCCATTTAAGTTAGGAAACACATTGGAAAAGAGAGAATAAAGGAAGCATAGGAAAGACAATTACATACCTACATATGTACTTTTCATGTAATACAAAATATATAATGATTTCTTAAAAACAAAAAAAAAATATGTATAGGGTTGTTATTCTCTTAACTTACTCAACTAACTACATACAAATCAAAGTTCCCACCCAAAGATTGGGGCAAGTGGAGAAGCCTTGACAARCACATAACCACAAATCAGTATTTATACTATAGAAGATCCCCTACAGTTATATTGATCTTACTTTTCACAAAGCATAAGAAAATCATTTTCTTTAAATGTCTTTAGGAAAACAAGTGGCTAGAATATTTCAGCTTCTTATGAGGACAACAAGAGTCTGAATAAACACCTCACAAAGATCAAATAAGTACACAAATCACTCTCAAGAAAATCTGGAACAGACCCACTACACATGTGCTTATATTAACTCTCTCCCCATTGGTCCCAGTGGAAAATGACCTATAATAGATTATGTCTAAAAAACATAATTCTCATTCCAAAGGTTCAAGGAACATAGCCTGAAGAATTTATTTGACTCAAAAACTTTGAATACATCTTCTCAAGAGATACATTCTTAATACCAAACCAAAACTCTAGTGATACTCAGCCTTAGATGTTGAGAAGGAAAGGGTTTTCCTGACTTTATAGTCCTCCGTGACAAAATTATATAGAGCACCATTCCTTTCCTGAAGCATTTAAAAATTTGGTTAATTTTTACTCTCAATCAGTGTTACTCCAAATTTAAAGATATGATGACCTTAGTTTTTTGTTATAAATAGCTCTAATACCAATACCATATAAGATGTTGACACATACATGGTGATAATGAAAGAAATGTCTACCTCTGCCTCTCAAATATAGAAAACTGGAAGCCAAATTTTCATAAATTAGGACTCAAAGGAAGTTGCACAGTAAACAAGAAACAGAAAAACAGAGAACTAACTCACAGGGTATTACAAATTAGAATCCTCTCCTCCCCTCTTGACTTCCTGGGCTGCTTTCCTCCTCCAGACCCTTCCTTGGTGACCTTCTGACTCACCTCTAGCCCAGAACAATGGAGTTAGCTGTCAGTGGACTAAGACCTCTGAAACTATGAGCCCCAATTTAACTTTTCCTCCTCTAAAATTGTTTTTGTCAGGTTTTTTTTTTTTTTTTTTTTTGGTCACAGCAGTGAAAAAGCAGATTAAAACATACTTGATCTTCCTGAAAGGATGTGTTGTATAACCTAAAATTATATGACATTCTAGTAGATTTGATATTTATGATGTAATTTATAATAAACTAATCATAGAAACAGGGTAATCTCTTCCGTTATATCAGTCAGAAATGTGCCTTGACAAATACAATCCATAGAAACATTTTCTGTGTGCCTCTCTGAGCTGACATGCCATTTC